AATGTGTTACAGTTCATAGGACATCCATTCTAGGCCTAAGGCAGCAAACAGCAAGCAGTAAGATAAATTGTGTACGTTGAATATTGGCATAAATCGTTCAAAATTCAATGTAATGATCGCCGGATAAGAAGATAGTGTGCCTTAGAAAGGGTGAGTTTATATTAGATATTGTTTCATAAATGCAACACATAGAACTTTACCACTGCACGCGAATTAGGGGGCGTGCAGCTCTAGTCATCGTGCCTTGGGTGCGCGTGGCATTTTACGTCATATTTTATGTTACAGCAGACTCGCTCAGACTGGGCCGCACAAGTGGACCTTTTAATGTTCTCAGCTATTCTCATTGTGCGAAGAAGTCTTCGGAATTATCTCTCTGGTACAGCATTAGGGGACACTAAAAGGTCTGGTCGCTGTCAGTGTTGCTGGACTTATCTGGGGCTTCTCCAACAGACCTATGAACTAATATGACATAATAATCAGATGCCATAGTAACCATTAGCCAACTAAAATTTGAGCAAGCAATAGCCAAGTATTCATAATTACCATGGCAACGCATTCAAAGAGATGCGCATTAGCGATTCAGATCACGCCGCCCCCGAGCTGTGTTCAGTTTTAGGTTTTCACATATCGAAATACCAATGAGAAAAAAACAAACCTGAAATTGTTAAACTATTAACAGATCCCCATAACAGTACACGGAGAACTCGTCCCTATCTCTCCTAGCTACCAGTACCTTGAACATCTTGTATCCAAAAATCAATGGTGTGGAAGTCGTACATAGTTACCAGGAGCATAAGCCCGAAATTCTTAGATTTGGTAGCGAGTATTTTTTGCCACATACTACTTTTCATACAATAACGGACTACGTAGATTAACTAAACGTATGGGTGTTTAGCTAAAAGGACATCTGTGTTGGTGCAGCGGCAGCGCCTTTCATTATAAGTGTGGTAATTTAATGACAACAGATGATAATTTAAGTACGATAAAGCATTTTTGTTAAAATACGTTATTTGTTATAAGACAAGATTCAAAGTGATTTGAAACCAAATCCAGACGTCTTAGCTCGAAATTACAGGTGACCACTTATGGGTACGATTACCGTCAATATGGAAAAAGGTAGAAGCTATTTCTCTAACATCAGTTTTGAACTGATATGGGTTCCATTGAAACAGAACGGGACACTTCGAATAAGGTTTCGTTAAAGAGGACGCTATATGCTCGCCGGTCAAATACAACCATGTTTATTGAGGGGGATCGTTGTGCTTAGTGCCACATCACTGAGTCTCGCATCGGAAAGTATATTACCTGGTAGCAGTTTTATCTAGCGATAATGAAGCTTTAGCTGCTGCGTTTTAAAGAATATCGATTAAACACCTTAACGACTAACAATATAGGATATAAAAAAAGACGAGGAATTATTGAGACAACGAGAGCGAAGGAAACAAGTGATTACGCATAAGCTCTACAGAATTGATATCGTCTTGTTGCTTGCAAGACGTCGATAAAGAACTCAAGATTTGAACCCATACAGATGTGGTCTGATTAGATAGTAAAAGTATCGTCTGGCTTAAAGACTCACCCTACTCCAGCTCCTGTATGTACACAGTCCGAATACTTCGGATCACATATCCGATCATACAGATAGGCACTGCGACTTAGTAGACTAGTCCCATGCGTATACCCCATCCCCTTTTCACGAAGACTTCTGTGCATTGAAATAATAATCGCAACCTTTCTGAGCCTTATAACTGAGTGTGCGTCAAATGTGTCTCGAAGTTCCAATGGAAATAGACCCATCGTGCTTCCGCGACAATTCAAACTTGATCCTAAAATCATTACCAGAGGCGACAATTTAACGAATTCTACTGGGTTAACTTTCACTCAACCTACTGCTTTGCTATTGTTACAATGCCTTGATATATCAAAAATTGAACTGCCGGCTAGTTCGAAAACCAGGTTAGCTTCATAACATGTTTGGGAAAGAGTATAACTCAGTTCTTTTCGATTACATTACAAGAACAGATAATTAGATAATAATGTAGAACATACAACGTAGCACATAAACCATGGGATACCACTTTGGGTAACTTGGCCTCATTACTGGCATGCGATACGTCAATTCGATATATGAGAATGTAGTAATTTACGGAAAATGAAGAAATAATGAGGTTATTTATTTACCAATATATATATATATATATATTTATAAAATGTGGATGCTAGAAAAGGGTGCAACTTTTTTATTAAAGGGAACATAGACAATCCAGTAAAATCAATTCGAAGTCTAGATAAAGAACCTGGAGATCGCTTAATCCGATACGATAAAAGGTAGGGGAATGGTCAGACGCAAAAAAGAGTTTTGCCTGATTTGCTTACCCAAGAACTATTTTTAAAGGTAATCGATATGCCTTGTAGTTGGGATCTATGGTCTCCAGGATCCAGGACTATTCAGATTGAGCCTAAGCAGCTAAGCGCGTCCAGAAAGAGGTTTATTTCAATTTCTGTACGTTACTAAATTGCTTTCTATTTATTACAGTATATATAATATAATTACAGTAGATAAATGAGTATTGCATTAAACACTAGTACGTGTTTGCGGTGACAACTGGTAGCAGTAAAAGTTTTTGTGGTTACCGCTAGAAGTTAGGAAGGAAGATAGAACAAGTCTATAGTGCTACATGCTGCCTGACAAAAAGAAGGGTGATTCAACAACACAATAGACAGTTAAATTTATAGGGTTTTTAGCTTTTCCTCTTTGGAAGATACCCCTAACGATAATGAGGTATTTGAGGATTTTAACACGTTCTGGTTTGGAGATCTGGCAAATCTAATATAATCTGATTCGGCAATCTTAACAGATATATTTATTATAAACCAGATGATGCCTCTACACTCCACGTAATAGATATAATTAGCTTTTAGAAAATGGTTAACATAGTAGACTACAAAAAAAAAACATAGATATAGCCTTACTATTGCTTTAATTATTTAGTAAAGTATTGTATAAATTCGTCGTATGCGGACAAAGCATGGAGGATGAAAAACAAATCCGAGCAGCTCGAATTGAATCTTTCTTTTGTGAGTTGTACATATATTTTTTGTCTTGGTGTATTGTGACTGCTGATCGGTAGCTTCGTATCTGATAGTCAATGTCAAGTCGTGTTCAAAAACAGATCGTATCATTTGGTCGATGCCAGTCTTCATCACAAACGCTAACTCTTATCTGTTAATATTTACTTTTTTTAGTAGAGGAACGCAATTGATCGTTCTGAGCTTTTCGCTCTTCATTGCGGCCCAAATCTCGATCATTGAAGCACTCTAAGCTTTGCTTAGTCATCTCGCAGCTGTTGAACAGATGACGGTAGTAAAGAGAACATTTTAACAAAGTATTCGACAATTCCACGCAAAAGCTACGTTATTCTACAGTATTACCAAACTGCCCTTGTAGCAAACTGATGAGTGCATACGTACACGTACGAATGTGTGAGTTTGAAGTTTGACTTATAAAAACTCTCACGACGTTAAAGCTGTTTCATATTTATGCTGACTATTATACGACCAAATTACCCTATGAGAGACCTATCTGAGGCCCAGACTCCTCAGCTGCAAATCGAAAGAATAAATGGTAATAAAGTACATGAAATCCGTAAAACATCGAATGTGTATGCCGCGGCGGGTCTGCACTCATAGGAAAAGCATGCTACTTCCTTCAAGTCGGCGTAGGTCTCTTTTATTGCACGCTACGCAATCGGCTAGTGCCACGAGGGGACAGCGACTTTAGACGCGTTTGCTAATGCCATTTTACCATCCCATGTAGGTGTTTCGTTGATTCAGGATTTGATGTATCTATGCGCTTGTTCCAACGGGAGAGTCGTGCTCTGGCTTCCCAAATGAGTTGTCACGTGTTGCCGTATTCCAAGAACGTTATTCCATTGACGTCGAGGTAGTTCGGTTACATTTTAAAGATTAAAATCTGACAGAACTCAAACATCTAAAAACGGTTCATTGAAAACAATCGTTGGTAGTTCAAAAAATCAGCTCATAACAAACTGTGCTGTTTTATGTACAGAAAATTTCTAGAGGAAGCTTAACCTGTCCCGAGTATTTGCGTACAGGGGCCATTTTCAACTGGTCAATACAAAATAGCCGATGTAAACGTTGGATGCCTTACTAGGCGCACCTTATAATCAGACATCTCGAATAGATCGTGCAAAGGAACCTGTCAAATCTTGCCGACCTTTCCAGTGCTTAGTTTCAACATAAAATCTCCACATGCTACCGTTTACCCGAACATAGTGTCCACCGCACCCGCTGTTCTTGTTGATGAGAAGAAGTCATTATCACTCTGCTTTTTTTATTAGGAGAAATAGAGACATCGACTCGCATACGGGCGAACAAATATCACTATTGTTTTTACGATTAATGCATAAGTGTCTCCAATTCTGTCGTTACTAGCAATGGCCTTAACTGAGGTGAGGCAGTTATACGTAAACTTTGTTTGGTCGAATTACACATGGTGTATTATAGATGGCAGGATTTAAACCAGTTACCCTCTAGTTCTTCTAAGCACAAATTTACCGGTCCAGTTCATTGCTTAAACGGTTAATGTATTCGGACTTGTGTGTTAAAATTGACGCTACGAAAGGAAATGTAGTGTTTTTTATTGGCTGCCAACTAAATAATTATTCTTGTCGTTCAATACTTCATGTGCATCCCCTCAAAAACCCTTTTCCTAGTAATGTGCATTTCTTTTACTCGCCACTGGAATCAATGACGTGCAACTGTCTCCTCCATTTTGCCGTCAAGTAGTCGAACCGTGTGGTTCATTTGATGCGCATGTCTTGACCTGCCCTTCGTGCTTTACATGCGGTACTCAAGGCTCAGGTATATACCGTACAATGTACACTCTATATTACCAGACGGCACGTTCTATTTGTGAGCAGTGTGCTGTATATATTTATTGATGAGCTTGTCTAAGCCAATAGACACAATGTTTTCAGGTGATGCTACAGTTGTGTCAGCCGGGAGGCCCACTGTCTCTAGGAGGTGCTGGATCGGCTGGTGCTTTGGGAGGCCTAGCGGTGGGAGTCGGAGGCTTAGTCTCGTCCACAGGACCGAATGGCTCGCCCTCAGCATCTGCCGGCTGTCCGCTAAATGCTGCAAGTCCTGGCGCAACCAGCGGTAATGGCTCGCCAGGAGAACCTCTAGGCAGCCCCCTTGTGGTTCGAAGGTAGGCAAAATTAGAGTCTCAGGCATGCTTGTTACATATATTATTTAAGGCTGACTTTTATTTACTTAACAGATGATAAACATAGTTTATTTGTTTTCGATTGGTTTTATTATGATATTGAGAGGTATTTTTATTCGAATAAGCATTTTGACACCTGATGTCTGCCGCCACACACTTTGTACTCTCGAGAATTACGGTATACGAAATATTGTAAACAGTAATGTAAAAGCTAAATTAAGTTACTAAAAATATTTCAGGCGCCGCCAGTGGCGTGAGAGCGAGACAATGCTGTTTATCCGATCGTGGGAGAGACATCACGAGGCACTTAAGAGCCATCGTCGGAATGCGCACATCTACGAGAAGATGAGAGATGAACTGTCTGCTAACGGTCTATCTGTCACCACGCAGCAAATTCGTGTTAAAATTGACAATCTCACACAGGCATATAGGTATTGCTGCTTTTCATTACCTTTCCTTAAATGGAACATGACCGAGAAAGTAAAAAAAAAAAGCACTTTGCAAAGTTTTCGCAAGGCAAGTAATTAATAAAAGTAAGTAAGTAACGTTGATTAAGTTTAACATGAAGTTCATGGGACAAATAGCCTTTCCACTAACCGGAAAGAGGCAAGTAGTAGGTTAATATAATGTGTTCATCCAATTAGTGGTACATTTTTCCCAATAACTATTTTGCTAAGTTTGGGGCTTGTTCGGGCATATCTTCTAGGCGAACGATGCGCGGTGCCCCTTTACGTGGAGGTGATATTCGTTGGTTCCAGTACATGCATCGCTTTCTTGGAGATAACTTCGTGTATCAGGTAAATTAATAGGTCATCTGATATACAAAAATTTTTGATAAACTTGATGAGGTGACCTAATAGATGTAAATTCGAGTTGGTCGTACGTTTACCATAGAACAATTTACATTTTCTAGAGTGACTCATCCGACGAACCAGTTGCTCTCGTATGTCCAAAACGGTCCAGTTCTGCCATAGTTTCATCGCAGTCTAGTGGAAGTACTGGTCCTCAGTTGACGGGGGCAGCGGGAGCCGCAGACCTGCCTGACCCGCTCGGGCCCACCGCTGCTGGACGTGATGCCGAAATCTCCAGCTCACTTAAGCCTCCTCGTATCAGTAAGCTTTTTTCATTTTTCTCCTCTAACGGAACGTAATGGGTATTCCAAAGGCCACACAATAAATTACGAACATCGTTGCTCCGCAAATCATTTTCATAATACAAATATATAGCGAATACATTAGGGTCACTTTATAAAGCTACAAGGTTGCATACGGTTCAGTTGCATAAATACCTATAAATTAAACTAGACTCATTGTAATTGCTCTCTATTATTAAAACTTGCTACGTAACTGTGGTACCTTTATGGCAAGCTGCATAACCCCTGTAAGTACTGTAAGATTCTGTATCATCCTGTATCAATCTATAGCCTGTTCAATACGCAAATCAGTCCAAACGTATGAGCAAATATGCTTTTTGCGAAATATCTATAATACCTCGTTGGTTGTACAAACAAAAAAAAAATATATTTTTCACTTTATACACTTGTATGTGCGTTTCGCTTTTTATCTGTCATCGAATTATTTCGAAACCTGTTTCGAAAAACATTTAAATGTATAGAATGCATTGGGTTACCTTTATTCCAAGCAAATTTTCAATGCTAAGACACTTCCATAGACAAACGCGATTTTACTCTGTAATATTGTTTATGACGCGTTGTCATGGCACAGGCGCTGCTAATAATCTTGAAACATCTGTAGTTCCTGATCAAACAAATAGTCGTAACATAGCGATTAATATCTCCACTTTGTCAACAGTCATGATTACTGTGACTGGTACGCATGTTTTGCACTGACGGATATACGTAGTTAAATTATATGATTTATAAGGTACATAACAATATATTCTTAGAGAATATATTGTCTAGACCTAATCACAAAGATTCGGCCAGCGATTTTCATTTATATGCTGAATACTGAAGGTAACTTTTCTTCACCAGCCGGTAGCGAGCCCTCATCAGAAGTAACCTCATCATATGTTGATGAAGAGCGAAACTGCTCGACTACGCCGTTGTCAAGCTGTAGCTCAGGTACTAACGTCTATAGACCTTTGGCAGATGCTCATCATTTGATACTTTTGCTTAAGCTATAATCTCTAAGTTTCAATAATTCTGCTTAGAGTGTATATAGTCTTACATATTGAACTACATACATAGATTCTAAATTAGATTCTTATTTGTCCTTATACATAAATGTATTGAAAATGAAACCTGAGTTTCAACAACAAGTATAATACGATTGGCTGCCTAGTAAAATACAAATGGTCCCGGATTTCAACATTGTTTGTTTTTATTTAACCGCGGCAGGCTCCGCCGTCTTGCAGGCTCTTCAAACATCATTAGCAGTGCATGCGTCAGTGACCGCAGCGAGTCCTGAGACTACCACACCGACGCCCGCCTCTTCCAGTTTAAACAGCAACTGCGGCATTGGAAAAGAAAGCATCAATATCGATAATGACGCTTTTCCATGCAAAGAAAGCAACATCGACGGCAGCAGCAGTAATAATAATAATAATAAAAATAATGATAACGGTATAAATGGCAACACCAGCGCACCAACCATTAACAACCACATCGACAACCTCATCCAGGGCGCTAAGGTTCAAAATTTAACTATTTACTTGACAAATAGATAATGACTTAAAACGTTAGGCTTAAGAGATTTTCGATTAAAATTGCGGTAAGCTGCGAAGAGTTAGTGTCCTAGGTGTCGGAATAAGTGTCTTATATGTTTCAAGACAGCGTTCTGAAATCACTGGCGCAAAAAGATGTCAAACACACTCCTCCTGTGTAATAAAATAACAAATTTATATCGTAAAGGTAAGACATCTTATATCAGCAATTCCTGCAGGTGATTCTAGCGCAGGTACGTTTTTGTATCGCGATTTTCACAAGAAATGTGTTTTAGGAAACATCATAGTCTTAAGGCTTAATCATAGGCTTGTAGGGGGCAAGGAGGCATCACTATGAATTGTGTATCCTGCTAAAACCATGGAAAATTACCGTATAAAGCGCTAAATACACTATGTAAGAGAGTTGTGACTATTCAACCCTCGAGATCTATATCTCACATTCATAATGCTATTACTATATTATTAATATATGTTATAATTGGTAATGCCATTGAGTAGCGCCATCATCAAGTCGGTCATAATCCTCCTCAGGAAACGGAGCAACGTGGAGGTGATCTTGATACCGAAGAGGAAATGGCAGAGGATACCAAACGTCCTTTAGCTGTCCTTCCCCCAATACCTCCTGCTCTGCCGGGGTTGCACAATCTTCCATTGTCACTCTCGCTAGACCCGGTCGTTGTGTCTGCCAAGAAGTTTCTCCGATTAAACTCAGCTGCTTCATCAGCCAATTCTGGGAGTTTGGCTAACGGATCAGCGATTCATTCAGATTCAATAAGGAGACCTGGCACATGTGGAAACGTAGTTAGAAAGAAGTGTTGCCACCATCCAGATGTTCTTTCGCGTAAGTGCATAACATACAACAGAAGCTTAGAGGGATTTTTTGAGGTTTACGGAAACAAAAAAGTTGCGAACTAGGACATAGTGCTATTATACACCCTGTCCACAACGAACATAGAAGTGTATGTGTTGGACTTATATGGAACTGTAGCAAAGAAGATATATCTTATATTTCCTTTAGGTTGTTCTGTTTAACCTGTCACTATGACTGCACTACTAAGTTAGGCCCCTTTTCCTTATAGGACGCATTTCTAAAATTAAAGGAATTTTTTATCGTTCCCTACAGTTAATACCCCTACCTTATAATTTTTTTACGTGTTTTGTAGTTAACCCTAGAATTACTTTTTTTTTTCCTGTAGGTAAGCTTGTCTCATCAGTAGAACGAATGCTACAGGCCCAACTATTGGTAGCTCAGCAAGCTTTAGTGTCTCAACAACAACTACAACAGGTAAACCCATTGCTTCTTAAAAATAACAAATTTAAAGACGTGTTTGTTCCTAAGAATAGGACTATGATTGGAAATATAACATATTGTGCCTATTTAGCTTATTTATATAGAAAAAGACAGTGTACATGATAATGGAATTAGAAGGGTGGATATAGCTACGGTCCGACTTTAGAGATTTAGAAGCAGCTATTCCACCCGTGGTTCAACCACATGTGTTTTGTATTTCTAGGCTATTTTAGGTCAGCAGCAATTGATGCAATGTCTCGTAGCACTTCAGGATTCAAGCAATCATCGGCAGCAGCAGCAGCAACAGCAACAACAGCGTGACAACACCTCGTAGATTTCAGCATATTTTCTGCAAGCGAAGGTCTTCAATCAGATGCCTCGAAATGACAACAGCTTGTAGCGTAAGACGACAAGAAAAGTTGACACCATTGAATAGCAAAACAGCGGCAGCCGTGAGGCCTCGCATCCGTGTTCTTCAGAGAGAAGATGAAGCCGCTATCAAAAGCCTTGCTCTAGTGTTACGTACAACCTAAGAAGTCCTACAACGAGCTATATATATATATATATATATATATATATATATATACCTAGTTATCTAATGCAACAAGACATCACTGGAGATTACACTCGCTATTACTCAAGAACTTTTATGAAACAAGTAACAAGTTGCTACTCATTTTAAAGCCAATACCGGTAACATAAGAGAGTCAGAGCTACTAATTAATCATTTCAGACTTTGCAGTGTAAAGTGTACTAGGCGAACTCGAACGTGGTCTTCATTCCAGTACGCACCTACGAATTTCGACCACTGCGGAAGTCAATTCTTTTCTCGATAAACTCGAGGTGTGGCGTATTATGTGTTTAGGGCATTGACCGCAAATGCAAAGTGCGGTCCAGTACATACAGCATATTCTCGAAGCCTTTTCTTAGAGGATGTGTTATCTATTAACTTGCAGCGAAGGATGCACAGGGTACTGGTGATGGCTTTCGTAGCAGATCACTAGGGCCAACTAATCTGCGATATGCATATGAAGACATACAAACCAAAAGTTTTAGTACACTGCTGAATCACACTTATCTAGATGCTGGTGTCGGCTGCAGAAGGCGTTCGCCCCTGAATTTTGCTAGGTGGTCGCTACTTATTTTCGAACCCACATAGTATCGGACGTGGTATTATACAGCCTTCGATAAACGAATTGATGCTGCCTAGTAGTGGTGTTTTTTTACCCTTCTTTCCATTTATTTTTTTAATACAAAAGGAAACTAAACATCGTTGTGTGCGACATTTTTGTACCGGGGTGCAGGACCGTTTGCCGGAGTTAACGGTTTCCGCCAGGCAATCATCGATAGTAACACCTAGAAGTAGAGGAATATTTTGCTTAGGTTGTATCTGCTAGTAGCAAATACTTCAGCGAGACGACACCTCCACCAAGAAAAAAGCGTTTTACCCGAAATATGCAGATTGACTATGCCTCTCTTTATTCAATAAATTGCTCATAGAAAATAGTATTAGTAACAATAATAATGATGATTACTACATAGAATGGACCTTGTGAGGTAGACGAATATACAGATAAGTAACGTTAGTGTATTATATTATGGGAAAAGTATATATATTATTATTACCTGAGATTATACTAAAGAGTCTAAAGAATGATTACAAAGTGGTGATAACTAGATGATACTCTTATATACGTAATAGTACCAGATATGAATATTACGAACGTGAGCTACCCTAAAAGAATGAATGAGTACATGTTCAAAATAAGATAAATCACACACACGCTCACTCACTTCTCACAGCTGCACAGGCAACAGATGCCGTCACTATTCGCTCACTAAATGCACGCAGATGTGCGGACCGGTTTGCCGTGTCCACTCAACAGCAACCGGTTCGATCGTTCTTTTTTCTTCTCGATCTTCGTTTGCGTAGTATAAATAACAATTCCGATTTAAATTTCCGACACGCGTGATATGGCAGAGAACTTCTTGCTCTCTACAATATTAACCCTATTCATCGAAATCTAGTCGTCGTGCAATTAACTACTCTTCTAAATTTTTGAAGAGGTGTAAAAACGTAGTTTTGAATTTTATCGTAAGGGTCACTAGGACGTTTCGAGAATTTCAAAATTCAGGCACATTGTCGAGCGTTACTGACGTCATTGACTTAATTCATAAGTGAAGATAGTACTGTGCTTTCTGATGGAAGGTCCTAAAGGTTAAAGCTTGTACTCACTGCTGCACAATTTATTAATGAGCGGACTTTTATTTTAATTGTATGCGCAGCAAGAATGGCTGAAGCACGATATATCTCATTTTAGTGTATAATAATAATCCTAAATCTTATAAAGGAAAGGAGCCTCTGATCTTTTACTCACATTTGACATGCGTTGTACTAATCCTGGAAGAGTACCTTTAGTTAAATTTTTCTCTGCGTAAACTGATGCAACGTATTGGCGAAAATAACAGCAAATTAATGGTCTCATTTTCTTTTTATTTTTGATTTATATTCATTTCGACATGTATCAATAGGGGAAATAGGCTTTACATGGAAGATGTCGGTTACTATAAAATCATGTAAATTAGCTACCATGTAAAAGTAGCACCTGCCACCAACGACAAAATTAGTACACTTTATTATATCATTCTAAATTATAACGCGATAATTAGAGAAAGTTGAACAAACTGTCAAAAAACACAACTTACTGAGCCAATTATTCTACATAAGCAACACCGCCAAACAGTGAGAAAAAATATATACATATATATATATATATATATATATATATATATATATATATATATATTACAAACAGCCCAAGTGCTCTATATATAGGCGTAAAGCTTTAAGAAGATTATACGAATACTACCGTCAAGACAATAGGTGAAGCGTGAATATATTGGGTTGTCGAAAGAATATTCATTATTTTCAAGTCAAAATGGAAGCAATTACTTTAAACTGACATTACTAAGCTAAGCATGCGCTATGCATTTTGATTGATGACCTTTTACGGTGTTTCTGGTAGCACCATGATGTCAACACTGTAGAACTTTTGAATGGAAAATTGCGAGAGGTTATTTTTCCGTTCCTATTTAAACTAAATTACCACCACTGAGAGAGTTCTGCGGAGATCGAAAAGATAATAATCTGACCCGGCTGATGCTCTCTCAATTTTGCCTGAGTAGCTTACTGTCATGGATTTTTTCTAGATGGCTTCCCTAGTCTTGTTAGTTGTTAATAATAGACAACCGAACCAACTGTTCTGTCAGGCGATAATACAGCAGTCCTTTTCAATACTACCGAACATATTGCATCACCTCCTTCCACGTCGATTTTCGAGCACATTTTTTAATACTCCTTACTTGCATATTCTTGTCGTATTTGTAACCGTGCCGTATTTTTTAGTATTATGCCAATTTATGCGGCACCCAAAAATTGAACCTTTTTTGTAGTTAATACTTTTCGAATGGTTTGAACTGTTTGGCGATGGATGTTTTTACTCAATTTTTGGAATAAATTCACTAAGTTTTTTTCGCAGTTGGCCGACCAGTAGGACGACGTTTCGAATCGAAATTCCCAGAACGGAAACGATAGAGTCCTGTTCATTCCGTCTGTTTCGATAACGCCTCTTGACCGTGTACAATACATTTTTTTGGGCCTTTTAGCATTTGTTCCCTTATCGTAACAAATTTAGCAGTTTTCTTTTACTGATCTTCAAGGCGCCTCGTATCGTGTTTGAACGCCGATCCAATGCGACTCAAATTATTTAAGATACGTGATTTTCAAGCCATCTAACTAGAAAAAAAACGGCCACTTTTGTGCACATCCAATATCATCGTTCGAGCAACAATAGAGATTACTCTCAGACTAAATGAAATGCAGAAACGTGTGTGTCAGTCGTGCTTCTTTTGCAACGAATCAACAATGACTCCAAGAACTTTCGACCAGTTCCTTTTTCAAACAACTTAGAGAGTAAGAGTAGAATTTTGACAGGGTCACAAATTTTGTTAGAATTACGCAAGATCAGTGTGCAGTACTATTTGTCCGCTTGGAAGTTATGATCTTCAAGCGATCACGCAGGCTTTCCAGAGGAAATTGCAGTAGGCTGTTAACAACGCATCATAAGGCCAGTGATTACTTGATGATAATCGCTGATTGTAACTAAACGAATACAGGGTATCTACTATACGATGAAAATATATTTATGACTAGTAGGGGCTTACATGCCCCATCTATATATATATATATATATATATATATATATTTCTGTTATTCACATAGAAAGTACATGAAGGTAAAGAAGAAAGCATGGTATATTTCTAACATGCGCTTCCTCAGTTGTGAAGAAAAGCAGTGTTCGTACAGTCATGCTCATGCCGCATTCCGTTTTATCTATTTGATTTCCTAGCTTTGTAAAACAACGCTTAAACTGACGAATCAATTTCCTTTTTGACCTAGCAATTTGAAAATACAAGTGGTGGTATTTATTACTGTTATAGGTGGTGGGTCATGATTTTGCATAGTTGTCGACACTTTTATGTAACAGAAGCTATGCTAGCTTCACGGTGAAATCTTAGATGATGATTCACAAGCGCGAAGTTTCTTTATAGCGCTCCATATGTATGCTAATAATGTAAAGCGCCCTTATTTCCCCACCGGTGATTATCAGTCGCAAGAAGATTGTTGAAATAGCTGGTCAGTCGTTGGCTGATCGCGGGAACATGTGAATTTCTTTTCCGTCGAATCTGGGCTGTTCAGTTTTGGAACAGGCGTTGTTGCTTATTGTCATCTCCGCTACTTCCCAAAGCAAGTAACTTACATAAAAGCGCTTTAACTTGTTGCGGATAATCCGAGACACATTCAGCCAATGTGCATTACTGATATATGACGATATATCACCAATAATATTTTCATTCGTAACTTCTGGTGATGCTAATCTACAGATGACAGAGATTGACAAGTGATAGAATCACGGCAGGAAGCGGAGATACAACAAAGCTAAGATAACCAAGGAAAGTTAGACTCGTTTGGTTACGGTTTTGACGAGGCGTTGACGGCCTACACCAGTCGTCGTGACGAGTAAGTCGTAACTGACTTTACAGGGTATTCCTTAAACAAGCATATATATATATATATATATATATATATATATATATACAGGGTATCTTCTCTTTAGGTAATGTGAGAATATGCTATTATTCATAGTGGTCAGCTATTCCGATTATGTGGGATACAATTTATCATCCCCATTGAGTACTAATATATAATATTGACGATAGAGATTTTATCGTTAGATATTCCACATAGACAGATGCGCTAAACCAAACTTGGTACATATAAAAGCAATTAACTGGATATTCAACTGCGAACAGTATATAATATAACGATACTCATTACGACACTAACAATATATACATCTAAAAAATAGATAAAACAACGGTTCTGACAAATTGTTATATTCCTTTAAGTATGCTTCGAGCTGAAGTGTTGCCTGTTCTAAATAGATCTTCACTTGGATAGCTCAGACGAGCACTTGACGATAATTGACCGTATGTTAAATGCAATCGACAGTAAGAGTATATGGTCCCGAACAGTGACATCACACAACTAGAAGGAGGTAACACGTAATGCTGATCCAAGTGCGAACAAAGTGTGCGCTCAAAAATCGGTCGTTAACATTAGTTTGTATCTAGTTCGATTTACTTTCAATCCTGCGCGATCCGTTTGACAAAATAATCTCTTTCTCATGCTCTTATTACACCTGCTTTGTCGTCCTAGGTTGAACTGAGCTTTTTCGAGGAAGAGATATGTACAGAAAGATCTAATTATGATAATAGCTGAGCGATAACTGATTGTATGACGCAACGTGCGACCTAGTGGCTAATTCATGTATAATAGATTCGATTTCACGTTTCTTAGTAATAGGAAAAAGGCATCGCTTGTTGTTTTTAAAAGCTTAGTTGCACTGTCAGAAATAAACCTTTGCTAAAAATGCCGCAAAACCATATAGAGAGACTGGCGGTTATGAACTAAAGTAGACATGCAGGTCCTTAAAAAAGGTTTGATTGTTGCGAACTAGCACCTTGCAGTACGCGGCCGCTGCCAGCTACAGGTTTAGCCCATTTATGATATTTAAGGCAAGACAAGACAAGACAAGACAAGACAAGGCTATACAAACACACACTTTCACAGGGTAACTAAATAACTTCGAATTAAGAGGAAGGTAATTTTCTCCAAGAGATACCGTCGCCTCTTCTCGAATAATTTTTATTCTTACAACAATAATAATACTATTAATGAAATTGCCTATATATACATATATATATATATACATGCATACATGCATACATACATACATACATACATACATACATGCATACATACATACATATACATAGCTTCTAGTTATCATGGAAGACACAGCAGTACTCAAAAATAATATATATATACACACTGACTTGATTATTTATACTATGATATGATGACGATCGGTGACGAAATGAAGAAATTACTAATGATATATAATAATAATATATTGACGAAGTCAGCAGATGCCGTTGCCGATAAACACGTAAAGAACCAACGAGATGTATCGTGGTACAACAAACAGGGTATTTTACATTTGCACAGAAAATAAACTCATATAAATTAATAAAGGGATCGAGAGATGTAGCTCGAAAAAACCTAGTGGTATGCTGCTATAAACGACGTGAAGCCCTGGTAAGCGGCCAGAACAGCTATGCCTTGCATTTCCCATATAAATGCAAATCGTTTATATCAGTGTGTATCTTACTTGTCAACTACTACGCTTCCACAAATCTCTAACGTATTAGTTTCTTTGCCATACGATACAGTTCAATATACGAATACTGCTTAGCTGACTGGATGTATTGTACATCTCCTGACGAATTTTCATTATGTATCGTGTAATCTGGTATGGCGTGCGCCATACTGACAACAAAAGTGCAAGTTTCCAGCTGATCTGGCTGATTAGCAGAAAAAAGAAGATGATTCAGCATAGAGCGACGCATAACGAATGTAGAAAATACAATTATGAAAATGGTAAAAAAGCGATAATCCATCGTTTAATGCTTAGATTATTATAAAGGTATAAGGAAATAATGCGAGATGCAAAAATAAATTACACCGGAGAGAAATATGACTCATAAAATGTCATTCCTTCATTTCGTTACGTGGCTAGAATATATAATAATATAGGAAGACATCATGCAGGACACACTGTGCCTTTGAAACATAATAGCGTCATAGTTGGGAGTAGCTGAGTACTTGTTTCTGTTTCGTTATACTAGAAAATGTAAAGCGGATATATAATATATTCAGGACAGCAAAAGAGGGCGAGGTATAAAGAACTCCTGAACATTCTAATTAGACGTTGAATAGAAAAGGTTTTTTAAACAGTACTGCATTTTTTTTTTCACTATTAAATTAAAGTGTATGTTGAGGAATGTATATAATGCGTATTAGGTCGTTACGTAGTAAGGCAATGGGGTTGATTATCTAAGCGCTCGAGGTTTCGCTGCTACCTTTTTGCATTTTCTTTTACAGCTTCTATATAAAGCAAAGGACACAAAAATAATGACTGTGCAAAATATAAATTACATGGCTATGATAATAGGCAATTAAAAAAGATGATAGCTCTTTTTTGGTCGTCTGTACTCTATTGTTATATACTTCATTTTTATTTCTCATTTCTTAGTTCCTGTTGTTTATGTGTTCAATCACTGTCTGTCTGAAGATTCGCTTCTGCTCTCACTGATCTTACTTATTTGCAATGCCCAAAATGGTACCTACAACACCTAGTTTTACATCAATTTCCATATCAGTTTCCATGCTAGCGCCCTATAATAGAGCACACTAGTTGATGAAATGTGTGGACTGCAAACCTGCCTTATGCTTGCCAGTTTCTTTCCAGTCCATGGAGAGGCATTGCTGACGACCAGTAGATACACGCTATGCAATCTTGAACAGTTGAAGTGTGAAAACCGAATTTTATAAACGCTGGTCTAACCCAATCGGTCGTCGTGCTTGGTATCCTTAGGCGATTTTAGTACCGTAAGTGGTAACTATTGCGACCTTTAGACTGAATAGTTGTCCGCGGACTATTTTTGCTGCATATTTTTTAATAATGATTACTTTTTGAATCAGTGCGTGTACGTCGTCACTTCTTTTGAACACGGTCTTAGCCCTTTTATAGTGCTCCGACATAGTTTGTCGCTAGTACTTCTTGTAGATGAAATCTGCCTTTGCTCTAAATGGCGATACCGTCGGCACAAAGAAGCATTTTCATGAAACGGTGGCGTTGTTTGTTTAGTAAGGTTAAATTAGTAATGAGGAATAGCAACGGGTTTGGATCGCCCCTATCGACAAAGCCTGTTGTCTCTTTGACGCTAATTTTTCTTATCACTTTATCGTCAGCTATGACGACATTTCTCTGAAGCACGACCTTAGTAACCTGAGTACCTTCCATGGCATTTCTTGTTATGCCATGCTTTGTTAACATGATGCTTGTTAAGTCGCGTAAAAAATTGTGGAAGTTCTTTGAGCTTTTACTGATCCTGCTCTACAATAACCAGCGTCGTATTAAAAGGTCAGCATTTCGATTTTTTTTCCGGTGCAGTGCTGTGCGGGATACATGCTCAAGACAGTTCTTTGCAATAATTGGGAGTCATGTAGCCATTTACAAAAATATGGAGACCGGATCACCCGTCTTAAATAGAAAATACAAGCCAATAATTGATATTCGAATACATAACCTTATCTGGGCGCACGCGGCAAAGTCCAGCCCGAGATAAGGTGCGAACTAATTCCAGAATCGGTCTTTATCAGCTAAAAAAACAAGTAATTACTTTTATTAATTCTATGTGTGAGGGATTACTCCTTTCGATTTGCATACGCACTAGAAGTCTATTTTCCACGATTACTTAGTGTTAGTTGTAAAATAAATTCCCGCAGTTTTCCTACCGAATAGAAAGCACCCGCGACAATAAGTCATTATGTCACGTATGCCCCGTCTTTGCTTACAACTTTTTTCGATCTTCATGCCGTTCCGCGAGAAGGTTGCGGGTTTCGTTTCGAAGAAGTTCTCCGACCATGCTTTAAGTCGTTAGTTTGTGTCAAAGGTAATGAACGGGAGTACTTAGAGAATGGAAAAAATAAATTCCGTTGGTTCTCTCCGCGGGTGTGGAGAAAATATGCAAATGTAACAACCTTCCGTTTGAAGTTCAGAAGGCCAGTTTTGACGATATTTGCCGTGTGTGGCTTCGCATTGTCACGGAGCAGACCTAACCTTGTTCAGCGGGTCTTTTCTTTTGAAAAGCTTCGTTGACTTCGATTCGACCAAATATACGTGCCGACCAACTGTCTTGTTTGTAGAAGCAATTTACACTGGACCAGGTTTTTGCAGTTACATCCCACCGATGTAAAGTATAATCTTTTTTTTGGATAAAGATCTAGTTGAACCCTGGACCTAGGCTTCTTGAGGTTACCTATTCAAATTGCTGGTTCATGTTTAAGTTATTCCTACTTCTTATTACCGGTGAGAGTTCGGTGAAGAAGTGACCGCGTGGCGCTTGTACCGGCTGACATGTTGAGACGCAGCGTTAAACCGTAAGATTCAGAGAACTCATTGAATACTTAAGCTTCAACCTTCTGGTTAAGTCCAAAAGAATCTAAAGTGCTTATCGACTGTTTTATGGCTGCAGCCCATATTTTCGGCCAACTTCCGAGTTCTCTACCAGTTGTCTTATCTAGGTCCGAATACCGTTTTCAGATTTGTTTAGCAGTCCTTTTAACGATAACGGCGTTACTGTGCGCAAGAAAAATGTCTCGTACTTTACTAGCCTTGACGAAAATGCATTTTTCATCAAGAACATCAATATTTGCGTAGTTTTCTCGAGCAAAAGTTGGACTTACAACACGATATCTCTTCACCATGCTGACGCATTTTCTAATAATAGATCAGGCATAGACAACAAGTGCGGCCAAACAGGAAAGGAAAGCTTTTGAAAAAAACCGCGTAAACCTATTATCCAACCTAATATAATATTATTACGGGAGAAGAAATTTCATACAATGCAATTGGAAGACCATGGCAGTTAAGCAAAGCTCCAAATGGCTGCCCTGTATATCTGACATCATTCAGAGTTTTCCTTCCCATAAAACAGGTTAAGTCAGGGCTGGCGGACGCTTCCCCGCACCTAATCATAACGAACGATGAAACACGCTGAGCCAAACGTGTTTCATCGTTCGTTGAATCTGCAAACCATTCGGTCTGTGCGAAACCGTAGCATATCGCAGTTTCATAGCCAGAAAATGGATAAGAGGTCAAAACTAGATCTCCCCTTTCTCAAAACGCTAACAATGATCGATGAAATTTGGAAACGTACCGACAGAAATAAGCTTCGCGTAGTCGCGAGGTTTGCAGCCTATGGGGTATGCGAGACGTAGAAATATTATGAGCCAGATGAGCGCTGTATTTGTAAACATTTCAAGACTGGATGCTGTACACACCACTCCAAGCGGTGCAGCAAAACTAGATTAGTCAATGAGCTTGCACACGTGGTCTTTTGAAACACAGTGGAAGTCTCGATATTGTTATTAAATTACTCAGCATAAGACGTAAAAACACTAATCTCATAGTTCAAAATGACGCTATTTTATAACGGGGCGACATTTCACTTTTATATTCGAGATATATTTGTGCTCCTTTAAATATGAAATCGCTTACTTGGTGCAAGTCTTTAACAGAAGCAGATGTGTGTAAAGATATCATAGTTGTTTACTTTGATCAAGGTAATAAAATTTGACGAAAAGGACACGAAAGCGTTTGTGTTTCATGGCTCCGCATTAAACACCCAAGAGTAGTGACCAGAGCCAACATATCTCTGTCGCACAACCTTGATCTAATGTCGCCTGAATCATGGCGGAAAAAATGCGTGAATCGCAGTTGAAAAGTCTTTGTCACTCACCACAATCGCCAAACGTTGCTCCTACAAATCACCATGCTTTTTTCTAAAATCTCAAAAGCTTATTAATCGAATAAATCGTTCAAATATCAGCATGATGCGAGAATTTCTTTTATGTATACTTTATGGACTCTTGTATCCCAGACATCTACAGCGTCAGAATAAATAAAGTGTTATGGCAGGCGACCATCGATAATAGTGGTGCATACTTCAATTGAAAATAAGAGAACTACGTTTGTGAAATGAATTTCGAAAAGTTAAGGTACAATATCTTGCTTTCCATACTGAATAACTAATATATTTGTAACTTTGTATATTTATACCAGATTTGCAAAAGAAAAACTACTGAAGTTTGAAGCTCTGTAGAAAAATTCTGGGAAAATCGGGTACATATTACACTTAAGCCTTCCACATAAACTACAAAATGGACCTTTTAAGGGTAAAACAAATAGAGCGTTTCAACGATGTTCCTTTTGGTGTTCCTGGGACAAAGCTGCCACGACCACATGCTGCAACGTCCTATTGCAGTAATTCTTTATATCAGACGAGTAAAAAATAATTATTTTAGTGAGAAAACATTGTGCGATGTTCTTCTGGGAATATAGGGCCCAATGAGGACCAACAACAGTTGGTGATGGCTGTTGTCTCACCATTCCCTAACAGAGCGATGTTGAAGTCATCCCGGAAAGGTGTGATTTACTTCTTTATTAATCGATCAAACCTGAAACTCTACATTGCAGTAAAACTCGAGTGTCTTTTTTTTAGGATTAACTAGTTTTCACTTAAAACCCTATCTTTTATCAAAATGACACAAAAAACACTTTTTAGCATATGTTACATTATCTTGATAGGCAATATTAAGGAGATTGTATTTATTGTAGCAAAAAATGTTCATTTAGCGTATTAGGGTAGAAAATTACCACCAACGACAAGCTAGCAGCCTCATGAAGGGGCGCGAAAAGTTAGCCAAGAAACTCGATAAAACGATTCACCCTAAAACGTCAATCTACAACGAAAGACTAACTGGATTGTATTACGGAACAATGCTTTTTTCCCGTAATTAATTAATTACGGGAAATGAAAGGGAAAACCACTTTTACTATCTTTATGAGCAGGACTTTTAGGCTGTCCGCCTGTAGTTTCAATAACACTCTTATACGGATCTCTTTGTTCAGCAGTAACATAAACAACAGCTCGCGGGTCGCGACATTTGAACCTAGAAATTGATTTAGCATAATTTGATTTACAAGCGCGGAAAAAACTATTTGTAGATCGCTACCCTTCTGAGAAGACTACTCGCCACTCTTCAGATTGATGGCAATACTTCCAGAAGAAAACATTTGAACATCTCTTAAATATTTAAAAAAAACCTGGTGATAAAAATACGCGGTGTTCCAGTTCATTATGGTACGAACGAATAGTTATTTCGCACTCTCTAAAATTTCCGTTTATATTGGGTTAATTGGTTAATGTATGCCCGTCTTTATAGACCCAAAAAAGCTAAAAGCTGGTAGTGCATGCGTGTGGGCTTTAGCGAACTCTTATATTTTTTAACGATTCACATCTGTTGTGCCATTTCCAAATGGGCCGAAGCCAGTGCTAGCAGTCAGCGAGATGATGAATGTTGATGGAAAAGATGCTACGAGAAAACAAGAGATGGTGAAGGGAAAGGGCGTTAGCGTTAAGTCGGATCAGGCATCACCCAAGATCAACACCATCTTCGACGATACCCAAAAGCGCTCGCTGTCCCAAAAGCGGCACAGCCAAAGGAAGGCGGATGTGGTGACATGCGAATATGGTACGCCAATAATGGAGCGGAAGAATTAACAAAATTGAACCTAATGACTTTAGCTGCTGTGAATGTCAAACTTAACGAAGCTTGATCGCGCCTATTACTTGAAAAAGTGACCTTATTTATTAGAGTAGCGGGCTCTATGTGAATTCATTGTAAATCTTGGATATTGTGTACTTATATATCTATGGTAATGTTAAATATAGGAAACGAGTTACAGTATCTGCTGAGTGAAACAACTTAGGGTGTTGTTAACTGAGAAAATCCGATAAGTGTTTAACCATTCCGCGAAACTAAGCAATTAGTGCGTGAATAGCAGTACTGAACGGATATTGAGAAATCGGAAAATTTGAAATTGGAATGTTTGTAAAATAACATAGTGCACGACCATTATGCAGTTATAACAAGTTCCCTAGCGGCAATTTTTGTGTTACCACTCGTCGGATTACTTTTCCTGCTGACTAAATTACTGTTCCTGATAAGCAGGTTAATACATCCTAGGCCAAGCAATGCGTCGTTCCGGAGTAATCTTTTTCCTTCAGGTAGATAAGCATGTATTTTGTTTTTGCTTTTTATTTTAATAATACTTGTTTTTTTCCTTAAGCATTTTGCTACCCTTAGATGAGGACACAAGATGTGTTTCGATTATAATATTCACTTTTATACAAATATCGTGTAATCCTCATATGTTGGCACCGCTTAGATTTTACAGTCCGCCTACTAGGGAAGCTTTAAATTTTTACTAGTATCTAGGGATCTAACGTCCATCGCGAATCTCAAGTATTGAAAGTCTATACGAACGTTTTATGGTATATTCGGTTGACGGCTTGTGCGTCGGCTGGCATGTGTAGCTAAAAAAAATAACAGGTACGCCTCGCGTCGCACCAGCGTTAATAGGGGTGAGTCGGGCTGAATTAGTCCAGAAGAAACCACCATTCGATACAAGCAGTATATCGAACACAGATAAAGCAAATAACGACTGTAACAAAAACTACGTGAAAACTACGGTCAAATGCTATAGGTATTGATCTAACGCAATGAAATTACCAGACCCTTTAGGAAAGAGTTGATGGCTTCATAGGTATATTACTTTTTGCAAAGTTTGAAACCTCTGCTCAGCTCTCGGTTATCGGTGCTTTTTGCCACGCCAGCATGGTACCAGAAAAAAAGAGCGTGACGGCTAGCGATGTCTTAAAATTCAAAGAGGAGATAGGGGTAACGAATTCGGTGCAAAGTATTTTAACTTATGTACATTAAAAAATTCGAGAAGGAAGCTTAAAGAAGGTTTTTTTCCATGCCGGAAAATCATCTGGGGAATATTTGTAGCCGTCACTGGAGCCAGATGTTATCGTAGACCAACATAATAGCTAGGTTCAACAAAAAATACTTGACCAATCTTATTATTATCTGTATGTGTACCCCAGCTTTTTCTCTCATAAAAATAAATTTTCTCTCAACATTTAGTAGTTCCAAACAAAGCCAGAATCAGCAAATGAAGCCCGATGTAATGCACTGGGTTCCATTTTTTGAAAAGTAACCCAGACCTTCTGAACTTCAAGAACGTGGGACTAGAGCAGAATTTTTTTGGCCTTTCGTTTGCCTGTTAAATTTAGGTACAGATACAATGCAATCAACACATTATAGTCATTAGGTACCTATATAGATATATATGTAGTCATAGATATAGAGATACGTGTATTAATTCGTAGGTGGCCGTGCTTATGGCAGCAAGCACTTGCAATCCTATTTTTGTTCGATGGGATGAATTCGCGCTTTGCCTTCGGCGTCGGTTGAAGCGCAACTTCTCGCCTAACGTCGTTTGCGCCACACGTAAAATGGCATCAAACTTTCGTCGTACCATCCGTTGTCCTAGCTGTGAGCTCTTCTTCCACTGTCAGGCCAACTACGAGGCAGTTTTTCATTGCTCGCAGGCTTCCGAAGCACTGCAGACAGCTGAGGTAAATTGTAAGATAATTATGCCATTCTGGGTATTCTATTTTACGATGTGAGACGCTCTCTACCTAAAATATCGGTCTACGGAGAAATAAAATCAATTTTAATGAAAAAGTGAAATCTTTGCACTTCAAATAGCGTTCTCATATGAAGCTTTTTGGAAATATCTTCGGCAATATTTACACCTGTTAAACAATATATATATATTATTTAACAATTTGTATATGCTTACTTTAGTTAAGTACCCTTCGCATTTAGTTTGCTATTGTTGTTAGATAATATTTTTCGAATTAAATAATGTTATCTACCGCCTCTATTTAAGATGTAAGTCAGTTTCGTGCGTATAAATGCATTGCTGCTCTTAAACAATATGGATTTCAATTATGTGTTTAACTGTAAAAAAAAAAAGGCGTATTTTTTCAAACTAGGACGCTCACTCAAATCTTAGAAATAAGAACTGTTGTAACGTGTCTATTGTTATTTCACTGTAGGTATTCTCTGATTGCCGCGAGTTTGCACAGTTCGGAGGCCCCGCATCAGGCGTAAGTGCCCGGCAGGAGGCAAATCTCGTAGGTCGTAGAGGCGGAGACTGTGTGGAAGAGTATCTTACAAAAGCGCCGAACTTCAGTTTAATGGCGTTGTTTGGTTTAGGCATTAGTGGGCGATGCCAGTGGAATCCTTTTTTAGAAACATGTGCGAGTAATGCAGGCGAGGTATGTTAAGGTTGTGTTAAGAATCAAGGTTTAAGCTGGTTACTACTAACGGTCAAGGTTGTTCCTAGGTTAGACGTCCTATTTATATGATGTTATAGAACTGTTTGTCTGCCACATTTTTTGATGGAAGCTTAATTCAACTTACAGGTCATGTTGTGTTTTGATATGCAATTACCGTCTCGTCCCCTGTTCTATGTATTATTGAACGCGGTTGTAACCTTTCGCATGCAGTTTTTCTTAATTGAAGTTCATTTTTTCCAATACAAAAATACGTTCTACTTATACAGATATTAGATCAATATATTGTAATAAAAAGAACAACAATAATATATGTATATGTAATCTACTGGATTACTCTACTGTGCTATCTTGTACACTTGTATAAGCGTATATAGTATACCTTTAGTACATAATAGTAGCTGTTTATTATCCTGTAGATAAAATGAAAGTTTAGTGGATTAAGTTTCCTGACGTTCGGTTTTCAAGTTCACTCAGAAGAAAGAGATTGTTGTAATATATGCAGGCTGTTGCGTATATAGAGCTATGTATGGTCAGCTTTTACATTGTTTAGTCACGTTCACATTTACTATTAATTATTTAAGCACTGTCATTTCATGTTGTATTTGGTAGGTAATCGCCAGTGCTGACTACCCACCTCTACCAACTTCAACACTGCGCCCTGAAACGTTTCACCGTCCAACGTATATGCATCATAAATATTCCCAAATGGGATCCTCCGAAGCTAATAATAAACTTTTCAGCCTGACAAGTCTGATCAATTTTACACAACCTTTACTTAGTGGGCTTGGACAAAAACCCCCACAAAAAAGTCCAGGTATCATAGAAACACTGCAAGCTCTACATGCCATCAAAGACAAACTACCAGTCTTCAATACAGGTAGCAGTTCCCACTCAACTGCACCGCATGCCGAGACTAACGATATCATTCATGCAGCTTCATACCAGAACGAACCGCACACGGCCTTTCCAGTGAATGATTCTGGAAAACCCTACAACCCGTTAGTGTTCACAGTTCAACCTTTAATGCAATCCACTCCAATAACAAATTCCCTTGATGCACCTGGAGTAGCCGATAACAACTCTAACAACGTAACTAGTACATCTTTAGAGCCTAATGATCCATGGTTGAGCGGTATAGCGTTAGCTCTTGGTTCATTTTTTGGAAAACCGCCGGTTTTGCCTGGAAATGCAAAGCATTTCTCGAATCCGGAAGCACAAATCCAAGTTGCCTATCATCAACGACCTGAGCCAGTACCAATTCCGCTAAACCCTGTGTCAGCCGTGGGACACACCCCGCCCGCAACACTATCCGGCGGATCTGCGAACAAGGTAATTATTGTTGAGTCTCCGTTATGCACGTTAACATTTAATAATGTCAATTTAATTTAAAACACAAACTCTGGAGTATTTCATAAGATCCCAAGAGGACTATTTGCTAAATCTCAGTTTCTTTACCGGATAGTTTTCACGTACGCATGGGCTTAGCAACAAATAACAAATTTTTTTTATTTTAAATGTGCTTCCTTTATTAATTTAACAGCAGAAGCACACGTTTCTCCACGCTTTTTGCTTCGATCACAGATAGAATATTGGCTCTTACTTCCTGGCTACTTTTCATAGTTGTTTGCGTGAACCTTGCGCTTCACATAATCCCGAATGGGGCAAAGGGCGTTAGGTTTCCGTTCCTCTGCTCAAGCGGGTTCTTTTTTAGGTTCTTTATTGTGCTTGAAAAACAGCCGAAACCAGCTATACCTTGTATGTTTATACACAGGGTTGGTCGTTTCTTTTCACGCTTTTCAGAGCCCTCCGTATTTTTTTTGATGATGAACCAGTCCGGACGCTTTTAGATGTGATCTTCGGCGTCTGATAAGCTCACTTTTTTTTTTTTCATAAGGACTTGTGTGTCTTAGGCCTGTGATAGAGAACGCACTTAGCTTTACACTAAATTTTTATACCGTTTCGACACATGACCTATTATGTAGAACACTTTCACAGATATGATTCTCCGTAAACAGCTACACCAAAAAGTGTTAAATATAAACGAACTTCCTCTCCTCACCATTGGAGCCCTGCGTTTCCATCTTCCAATCCTTTCCGTTGTGCGTTTCCCTCGACATTTACAGTTTTATGAATCTCTCGGCCAGTTTCTTCAAAACGTTGTTCTGAATAGATCACAATATAAAACAGATGCTGTGTGATAGTATTCGCGGCAACAATAATAACAAAATATTGACCTTGAGGCTATTGTCTTCGGTATTTATCTGTATGTGATCCTTATATTAGACTTTTCATTTGCGTTCGTAGGTGAATAATCAGTAAATAGCCCATTACTGGAATTATATTACGTAAAAATTTACGAGCATCTTAAGGAAAGTTACTTTTCGGTACAACAGAGCCTTATCTAGACGCATAGAATTATTCTTTGCATATCCTTAATTAATTCCTTAATCCTTAATTAATAATAACGTCGAGGTTATTGACGTTCTTGTGTAGGGCTTTGACGGCCATAATTTATTGCTCATGCTGACCCGCCTATACCTATGACAACGTGTTTGCATGAACACGTACGATAGCTTGCTGAAAAATGTGTGATGTACCATTCGATACCGTATATAGCCATCGTTTACCTGTAGTTAAAACGGATACACCTTTTTGGTTTCAAAATGGCGATATACTCCGTTCTTACTGCAGTGAACACACTAAATAGAGACGAACACTGAGAATACGGTTCTACCTCGATTAGAAGCATGTTCTGTATTATGGCAAGCCAGTTCTTCTTGCGACTGATTTTTACGTCCATTATGAATATTTTCCGTCGGTGAAAAGGCGCCAATGACAAGCTACTGCATCTTTTACAGAACTTCAAAGTGAACGACACCGATCAAATATCCCAATTTCAGTGTCCCTAGGGAACTGCTCGTCGACTTTAATGGTACAACCCTAGTATATCTCTGCGCAATCTCCATCATGCGCAAGTCCTAAGCATACACTTATAGCACTGTATTCTTGAGCTGTTAGACGTTCGACCAGATACGCGATCGAATGAATGTTCAGGCCATGACGAAAGACTTCAACACCATTAGCGATAAATAACTCACACATCGCCATTGACATAGCGACATATTATGCACGAACACACAGTTTCTATCCGGGAAGCATTCTGGTACCTAGGATAGCATTTTAGTTTGTGTTATCTTGCATAATCCAATTAAAAAATCTCATAATACGATTCATCTGAAAAACAGGGCCCCTTTCAGTACCCACTTATCGAATTTTAGAACTGTTCGGCCAATTTGAAACGCACTAACTTCTGCCCACACAGCGACCCTGCGCGCTGCCATTCTTTGAGAAACTTAGAAACCGTTACTTTTATCACTGTCAAAGTTGCCTTTTTTTTCCTTTCATTGCGTTGTGCATCGCTTTTGACTTCTGCTTGCTATTTTTCTTGGTGACAAAATCCTTTTCCTTCTAGGCTGTATTGCCAACCGCACATTTCCGATTCATTCAGTAATTTCTTTTTGTAGCAGATCTTCTTGTATGAGTCTGGCCAATTAGGTTCGCTGATGTTCTGCAAGGTCTTTTCGTAATCGCACTACGATTTCGTGCATAGTCACAAACACACAGAAATTCGCAGGAACCTCATTGTCATCGAGTAGATGAGGGTAATTATAAGTGCTATATAGCTCGGATCATCCATATTTCTCTATGAAACGTGCGAGTAAGTGCTTTCTCTCCCGCCGCGGTTTTAAGATGTTTCTCGAGATACAGCATCATATGCGCTATCATGAAAACGCAGAAAAGACTGCTTTCGCATAAAGAAAAAAAATTGTGCGATACTACTTGGCTCATTTCCATAGCTATTTTCATTCTAAATCACCAATATGTGAAACCTATATTTGGCCTTCTTTGATTTCTTTGTTCTACTAAACAACAAGGTTTTTTGCCAAATTTTACTTCAATATATTGTTACCACCTAATGCAATCTTCTTCAAGGCTTCTTACTTAAAGACCAATTAATTAGATTCTAGGGTCTTTAGAGGGGAAAAAAAAGATATTCTGCGCTTTATGGACCATTATGCACAGTTGCAGTCTGCGGCGTACTCGTATTATACGCTACATTGTAACAAAGATCGTAGGTGTACATGTGCTTTTCTAATAATTACTTTCGTAATTCAATATATCTTATTATGTGCTGTCGTAGTCATCCCTACATTTGTATTTTATTTTGGTAAAAAAAAACTTTTATTGTTTATTTAAAACGAGAGGTAATAAAGGCTAGATGACAGGCAATAAATTCGTGTTGAACCTAAGAAGTGCTAAATGAAACCATGAGGCTAATTTACGAATTAACAGTTTTTACCTATGTATTTTCTAAACTCTAAACAGGTTCAAACCTGAGATTGGTACTATCCTAAAAAGCGATGCAAGATATATCAGAAAATAATTAATTGAGATAGAATGAGTTTTGCAAAATGCTCAATATATCAGCTAGTTGCTGGCATAGACCTGCGTTTTTTTTACAGACATACATATATACACGTGTGCCATTGGTGTTCAAGTGATACTTGTCATGATTTACATTCAAATAGGCTCCGATAAATTAAATCCAATATTTTCAGAATTCTAGGTCGGTTACGCAGAATTAAAGCGACATATTATTCAACAGTTTTTTATTCACTAAGGCGTCATTGTCCTATTTTACACTGGTGTCCTAAAAGTCAATAAAAACCTCGATCAACATTTTAAAAATGCTGACAAAAGACATATTGTATTTCAGCAATAATTCACTGTAATCGAATTTAAGCAGGCTTTAACATTTCCTGCTGATATATTGTACGATGTACATCCGGCGCACTCTGTCTTGCCACCTAACACGACTGTTGTCAGCGCTGAAAAACCAAGCGGTCGTATTTGGGTGAACTTGACTCGTTTTTGCATGTCTTCGGTCATTTTGTGTGTTTCCGTATGTAAAGTGTCGATAGAGGAAGGAACAGACGTCACTGAAGCAGGGAACGCTGATCGGTAGATTGCTTCGCCGAAACAAAGGTACCCAGTGCAAAGCTGCCGAAATGTTTCATGTTTGTCAGCATTAAGTCCCCAACGTTGTTAGGAACCTGAGGAAAAATTTTCCGCTGTCGTCACATAAAGTCGGTGTGGATAGAATCGGTCGAAGCGAGAGAATATTTTGCGAACTACAGAAGGGTAGGTTCGTTTTGTAAAACATCTTCCAGAGCAGACTAACCAAAGATTGACTTGCTGTGTCAAATATTACAATTCATCAACGATTCAAAGGGGCGACATTTGGGGACGATATGCCTTCTAAGAAATCTCAGTGGAATGCTTGAATGAAACGAGCCCGTCCTCATCGGGCAAACCGAATCAAAAATCGAACCGTTCATAACTGGGGAAAAGGCTGTCTCTCAGACGAATCTCATTTTGAAATTCTGGGAGAAAACGCTTATCATAGTTTCGCATGTATCGGCAAACATCCATTAAAAGTTGCGGCATTGTCTATAACTTCTGGCAAAGGCACTGGGATGATACATCACTCATAGGTAGAACTCATAGAAAACTGTATTAGAGGCACGTCTCAAAGGGCGGCGGTAGCTACCGCCACAAACGACGGTGTTATAGAAAACTGACGCTCGCAGCTATGTTACATCGCTCAGTTCAAACATGTTTGCCATGTGGCATAGCAGCGTAAAGAAGAACCATGACGCGTCGACAGACCAAAAAAAAAGTTTCAAAATAGTCTGGTTTAGCGATGTGTAGTTGGCCTTCAAATCTGAATTTATTTAAATCTATTTAATTGAGCACCGACTGTACATACACAGGACTAGTTATTTTTTTACTACTATGTAAGGTATACAAGAAGGTTAACGATAGCATGATTGCGCATTTTTGTCCTTTTGTTTGAATGTACGATTTCGTAATAAATAGTACGCAATTATTCCATGAAGCATACGCAGTTAAGGTTTTTCTGCAAGAGATTCCGTATAAACAAGGTATCAAAGTATGTTTTATTGCATTGTTCTATGCAAAATTATTCATTTATTGATTGTTATTCCATATTTAGGTTACCACTCCAAACAGTGAGTAACGCTTTGTCAACGCCTTTGACGGAAATGTTGAGTCCCGGCATCTTCTCCAAAGAAACACCGTATATTGTTTCCGTAAACAATAGCATCGCGAATGATAACTATAAAGAAGCCGTCACGTGTTCATCAGCAGCAGCATAGGTAATCTTTATCTAATTTATTTCCGTTTTCCTCCTGCTCTGTTTGTTGATAATAATGTCGATAAGCGTGAACGTCTTTTTTGTTCTACTAAAATCGGAGGAGTCGAAATTGAATACAATGGTTGGCTCATGAAACATGTAAAATGTTTAATATTTAGCAACGGATATTTATTACTTAGCTTGAAATATCATCCATTTAATTGCGGAGTAATAATTATCATTTGGCCCGTTGATCTTGAAAACGTAGAACCTGATAAGCTTCAGTTTCGATTTGTAACAGGGTGTTACCTAGTAAAGGTATGTATAAAACTATGCATTTACTACACTGCGAGCTCTAAAGCAGCCTTCGAGTCTCAGATAGTTTTATATGGATATAAATATTCATATCGATAGTACCTTTTTAAAAAGTAAAATTTAGTTTAAAATTACGTTCCGTTTACACTAGGAAATCAATGAAGCCCTATTCTATATCTGCTCACCCAGAATGTATGGCAGACTATACTACTGGACCAGTTGGTTATCTATAAAGTTGGAAAGACATGCATTGTAATAAGAGCAATTCGACAAGGATTGCAGTTGATTGACAACTTTCACAAAAGTATTACGACAAAAGTGATTTAACCAATGTGTGTTTTTATATATTTTGAACGCCTAGCCAGCCTAGATAACGGTTAATACCAATAATAATATTAATAATAATAATAATAAATTACAGACAAATGATTGTACTCTTTTATTACATAATTTATGAGTATTATGTGATTCGTTACATTTTAATATTGACTATATGTATTATTGTTATTAATATATTCCCTATTATCAATCTAATAAGATAATTTCTCGTTGCTGCTTTGCAGTTGAAAAACCTTTCCTGTGCTAAAAAGACTGATAATTGCTTTTTCGAGAAAGAACCCTTTCCTAATGTTTTGATTAATTTAAGGATGTCCTCGTCCCACATACCGCATTATTCAAGATTAAGAAGTAAATATGCGTAGTGCTTAACTAGATAAGCATTTTTGGATCTCGCGCTGATGAGTATTATGAGCTACTTTATCACGGTCACTTGATCGTGGTCCGCTTCAATGCTTTGCTGTGTATCAGCGAGGATGACATTCTATGCAAGGGGCTTACGTTCTTGTCAGTCTACTGGTACGTCCATCAGGACTCCGCCGGTCAGTCCGTGATAGGCTTAAAAATCCCAGCGTAACCACAAACCCTGTCCATTTAAAGTTCCTGTTTGTTAGAACGCCCTATTTGTTGTGTCATTGATAGTGCCGTATTGACCTAAGGCTAACCGAACCAGATTGAAGCTTACCTTTGTGGTCCAAACTCGCCAGTCATTTGACAGCACATACACGGCCCCTTTTCGAGCGAGAGTAGTTTCCACAAGTTCAAGAGGGATGTATCAAACCATGCTCCTAGATAGTTTGAGAATTCTATTTTCAAGCGAATAATGCTGAGGTGAGATTCACTAATTGACGAAAGGTTTTAGCGTGTTGCCTAGGAGGAAATTCGGATTCATTTTAGTAGCTTTTCGGTCTACCCTTCTGACGGGATTTCTAATTAGCAAGCAGCCCAACGCGGAAATGCCCTTTACTGTTAACTAATGTTTGTCTTATTGGGCGACTATAGGAGTACGTTAGCGGACCCCAATCTACCCTGCCAAACTGAAAAACTCACTGGCCTCGAAAATCTTTGGTCGTAGTCAAGATAAACTGCATGCTACAAAGTTCTTCACATTTTGTAGTTAAGATCCACTTTCTTGTACGGAAAAAGAACACTAGAGAAGGTACTCCCGCCCGAGTAGCTTGATACTTAGCAGAGTCTAGAAAATTCATTCCTTTTACCGGCCAAAATAAATTCCTTTTGGCCAATTTCGAATGGATCCAGTCCGCAATGATTTCCCGGTACACTCTCGGTCGGTCTTGCTTGAGGTAAGTTATCTCACGGCACAATTTTTTCAAAACGTTATGATAAGTTTTGCTTTCAAATATTTTTAATGTATTTATAAAATAATATAATAACGCGAGCAACTTTCTTCGTCGCATAGCTAGAACAAAGAATACATTTTACACTTGAAAGTGTGTATTTAAAAAATATCAGTTTTTAGGTAGGATTGACCCATAACAATAGAGTCGGGTTTCGGTTCCGATAACGATTTGGAAACAACTGCTACGAACCTCTACCATAACGCTTAACCTACCACTACCGACGAAGAAATATATTTAGTTTATATGTACGCACGGCAAAATATAAAGGGTCCACTAGTTTAGGTAATAATTTAAAAATACTATAATCGCATGAGCGGCGTTACTTCCAACTAGTTTAGAATATGCAAGTTTCTATGCAGATTTGTAATTATATATGTGATTTTTATATACAATAACATACCAAAGGTTGTGTTTCTAGCTTTGATAATAATCTGAGTACGCTTATCGTCATATTGAACCTACACCTTTTAACTGATTTAAAATATAATAATATGTCTGGATTATACCTGTCGGTTGCGATTTTGTCGGTTTAATTTTTCCGTTTCCTTCAATATGTTAAAAGGGAAAATATCACAGTGTATTTAAACGACCATTGATTATACTCCATTTGTGTGTTTGTGTGAAGTTCAGGCACTTCAAAAATTGTCCAAATATTATTTCCACAAGATGCTGCGAAATCTTTTTCCAGGTTAATCTGTTAAACTGTTTTAAATGGCAGTCTGATTTTCCTTCGAAACAGACTTTTCAGAAAACTTAGTTTGTTCTAACAAGGCCTAGTATCAGCTTTTCAATGCGCCCTATTTGTATTAAGATATGTTGAAAAAATATAAGATTATGGCTCGATCTTTGCCCATTGCACTTTCGAGCGCGCTTGTTCCATTGATATAGAGTGCTTAAAACGCACAGACCGAAGGCCTTAAAACTGATGTTTTCGTATCCACAAAAAATTATTGTCGTCTGGAAAGAAGCAACCCAATATAAACTTGTATTTACGCGTTTATATTCAGCTTGCTATACCCGTCTGAGTGCTTAAAAATCGTTAAAAAGAGTTTAGCTCAAAGTGCTCGTTCGTCGTAGAGTGTACTAGAGTAAAATGATTTGTAATCTGCTGTTAAAAAGAAGTAATAGTATATTAACGCAGTTAAAAATACTAATTTCTAAAGTTCTCATGTTTTGCACGGATATCAATGCTAGTCAGGTTCACTTTTATAATCTTATGAACTTAATAGTCTGCCTTTTTTTATTTTGAATGTAAGATTTATACTTTGCTTTTACAACACCTCATATCGCAAGTTATGTCTGTTAAACAGTCCGATCCAATTCTCTGAATGTACCCATAGAGTTTATTGTAAACAGAAGTAATTCAAATGCCGCGAGAAAGAATGCTGCTCAAAAGCGCCCACTGTTGCGGGAAAGGGCAATCTCCACTTTCCACTATTACACCCTTTCTTTGTTTACCCTGCCCAGATATAACGGCAATCGTCCGTTCAGCAGTGGTTTATGAAAGGACTGGCGCAAACAGCTGGTACTGAAACCAAAAAACAGCTGTTTTTGAGCATGTGAGACACAAACTGTGCCACAGATCACTAGGTTTATTAAAAAATCAGTGAGTGTGCAACTAAAACAAATAATATCGCTTGAATTACAAACGGTAACGAGAAGAAGTTGAATCATTGCCATTTTGCATCGGTACTATATCGGCTTATGACTGGTTAGCAACGTTAATCTTATTTGGCTGATCCAACTGCTCGCAAAGGTGAAAATAAATTTATCAGATATTTCGAATAATGCTATATAATTGACAGATGTTTTCCTAATTAAAAAAATCAATGTATTTTGATCAATATACAAAAAAAAAAAAATTTTACGACGTTTCCCTCCCATCTAATGTTTGTGCTTCGTTAATGCTGATTTCTGACTATTCTACATGTGTTATGTGACATTGTTCTAATTGAGTCTAGTGGTTAAAGCAAAAAGCTTGTAGCTGACAAAACGTTGACTTACATTATACATAAATATAGTAACTAAATCAATTCAGCATGCGGTTGAATATTCCAACGCATTTAGATTGATGTAAATAAGGCAATTTGTAAAAAAATGTTAATCTCGATGTTTCGGTATTAGATAAATTTATGTAGCGCTTAGACACGCACCACCCTGTTATAGTTGCCTCTACAAATGCGTATTATTTAACCTGTTGTTAGAGCATCACGGATCCTCTCCGTCCAGTAATAATTTTTCCTTAGTCTGTGTTTTTTGTGCAGCCATGTGACGGGGTTTATATCCCATATATACGTAATCATTTTGTTATTTCTCACAACCTCGTGGGTAACAAGTAGTAACTGCAATTAAATACCCAGTGTTCTTTTGTTAATTTGAGACAGTTTCACAAAAACCCGTTTATGCTATCGACGTTTTTGGACGATGAGTTTATCACTTACTGATAACATGGGCAACCAGTTCAGTTAACTGCTTCTAAAGTTCTGAGTTGATTCAAATAATAAATAAACGTGTGTCTGAGCGCGCCACGCTCCCCAAATTCTAAGTATGCCAATTCTAATATATTAAGTATTATTAATATTTCCATAAAAACACTAAGCGTCATATTTTTGTTTACAGTTAATTAAAAATGTTTTTACCTTTTTAGTCAATTCGATAAAGTACAAGCACAGTGTACAAAATCAGCGATATCGTAATCTTTAAATATCTTTGAATTATACATTATGAAGATCCCCGTTGAGTTATAGCGTCTTCGTGTATACTTGGAACTTGTGGAACATCTTCTTTGAAGGAGTTGTATGTGACCTGCGACTGTGGTGCTAATTTGCTACCTTACAGAATGAGGATTGAGCATACAAATATTGGTTCCAAGCGAGCTGCACTGCCAACACTAATGCTGGCGGTATTAGTAAAATCTAAAGTTGAAAATTGGACTGTTATATTTTTGTATTTGAAGAGTGTTTATTCATACTGTTTCTTTATTTGAAAAAAAAACATGTAGTATAATTGTTTGTTTTTATCACTAGTTTTGTACTTACGATTTTTTTATTTTGCCTATTGCGAGTAAAGGCCATGGAGGAGCTTATGTCTTTTTATTTCTAGTGAAAAACCAGTAGACATGGAGCTATTATATATGTTCTCTCTATATGATCCATTTCTTTTGTGTGAAGAAGCACTTTTGAAGCCTCGTTACATTTCAACCTCAAAAACTGTTCTCACACTCTGCTTACGATGTGTGTAAATTGACGTCCACTCACTCTAAAGGTTACTAAAAAGTCTTATGCATGCTGCGTCGCCATTAAAAAGGGAAATGAGGTAATAAGTGCAATCTAGAAAAAAGAAGGTCCAATCTTAGGATTCTTAAATATAGTGTTATTGGCGTTATTGTTATCGACTAAATAAGTGCTTTCGGTAGAAGATTCCATAGTCTTCTGACCCTTTTGGCATTTTCTGTTAATCAGTCTACCACGATTATTACGTTAATACTATACAAAGCCGTCTATACATAGTGTTATTTCTCTGAGATAACCGTTGTTGTAGCCCCTTATTGTATTTAGTGCTATAAAGTTTTGGAAGAATGTGGTGGCAAAGAAAGCAAATCTGTACTGCATAGAGCAAATTGCTGTTCTGTCTATCGTCGTGTTACAAGCTTTAACCATACATATATACCCAGAACAGAACCATAAATATATAGCAAAGCAGAAATGAACATTATCTATGGCAACACAGTAGCGCACAGACGAAAATCGTTCATTTGCCTCAGTATACCAAGTGTAATGTTATTTTGGCTAAATATCGGTTACCCAAATTGACGCGCAGTAAAGATCACTTGTATGTTTTTAGCCAATACACCCAAAAAAAAAAGTCACTCTTTTTTCTTGCAATGCCTTGAAACAATATGTTTCCTTGCAATACGAGGTTCTAATCAGCACTAGCATGAGGTTCTCCACTGTTTTTTTTCAAAATAATGTAACTTTGTAAACTTAAATAATACTCTATTATTTAATTGCACTTGATTATTGTAGATATTCTGTAGCTGCCTGTCGTTCGTTTGTAATAGTCAAATGAATTCTCTTGCGTCAAATGTGCTACTATTTATTGCCGAATAATCAGGCGAAGAAGCCCATGAAAAGGGTAGGCGGTAGTTGAGGTTAGGCATATACAAATTTCTTATACTTGAAAACTAGAAGTTAAACTATTATTATTATAACTCTAATAGAACACCCAGCATAAGATTTTATATACGTTCTTTCGCTTCTATTTTACGATTTTTTATTACGTTACATCATTTTGTGGTACATGACCGCTGTTAAGTCTGCGGACATTCAAGAAGATTGTTGACAGTAACTCGTGCGTCTCGTTCTTAGGCATTATGTTAGACGGCTAGCGCTTGATAAAAATGAAGTGACTACGCGAGATACCTACATGACAAACGAACAATCAATCCAGCATCCATTTTGCAAATATATAATGTATGCAGAGAGAACGGTAAATAATACTGATTAACACAGTCGAGCCAAATGGCCCTCCGTTTGGCAATACTGACATTTTATGGGAAAAATAAGCCATTAGAAAATCGACAATGGTTCGTTATAATCATGTAAATTAGATCGATTGTGTAATAACACTAAAGAATACAAGATATTCATGAATATATGTATATAGAGAGGGAGAGTGACTAAATTTTAAGGCGACTATTATATCTATAAGAAGCTGATTTAAGATAACACATAATAACTGATGTAATCTCGGCTTGATAAGCTGGTAGAGCACAATACTCCTTCCTGCAAACCTGTAGTGGATGTAGGCTGACAGAAGCGAAACAATAGCGTTAATAAACAACAAAAGAAAAAATATGACTATGAGTGTTGAAATATTTTAAATAATCCTTTTAAATTCCTGACTCAGTGTAACATTAGAGAGCCTTATCGTCATAACGTGTATAACGGCAATAAAAATATCGTGTGACACTATATGCCTGCCTTAAAGTTTTTTATATATACGTTGAATGGCCACAACTGTAAAGCTTTCCGTTACAAATAAACTTGCTAAACTGTCCAGTTTTGCGTGCAGCTGATCGCAGAAAATAAAAGCAGTATGTCAGTAGATCTAAGACACAACCAGCAATATCAATGCTTTAAAACATATAATAATGAAAAGAATTGATCATCAATAAATTACAAAAAATATATCCTAATGTGAACAACGAAGATTCGATTTGTTCTCCATAGTTAACTTTGAACAGAAAAACTGCCAGTAGGACCGATATCGCGGTTAATTCTCACTAGCAATCTCACACGTGAGCTGTGTGGGGCCTGCCTTAGAAGTTGTGATTAATTATTAAAAGCAAATGCCCGATCTACTTTGTTAAATTTAGTAACATAATGATACTGAAGACCTTTTAAGGACTAACGCAGGCCTATGGCGTTTGAGAAAATTGCAAAACCTCAATAGAATTACTTTTCTCCTTTAGTATTTTGCATCAGACACCTATTGGCGACTTGAGTTCACGAAAAGCTGTGCGATCGTATTGAGCTACCTATATTTGCGGAGATGTTCAGAAAGCGTCCGGAGCTACAAAACAGAGTTGCGTTTGGAGCAATGAAGCTTTACGCGGCTGCATGTCTCCCTAGTAAGCTACGAATCATCCCCTTAACAGTACCATCATAGAACTAGCGATAGCACGACAAAGCCTTCCTTAATTAACATAGAGTATAATAGATCCAACTGTGGAGCAGTCCATCTACTCTAAGTATCGATCTCCTAATACTAAAGGTAATTCGCATTTATGGGAGGGTCGATATTAGGAATAGATTTACGTATATATCAATGCATACTCCTCTATGAAATACTCATTACATTACAGTGAAATAGCATTATCATGTAATAGGACCATGTTCAGAAAAACTATCAACAAAATTAATGGAATATATTGATATGATGTTTATGATTTGTGCCAACAGCACAGTTCAGAAAAGAGATACATTTGGATTTGGTAAACTTAATTATTCCATTGTCCTTTATTTGGGCCGGCAAATGTGTGCAACTACAGTAAACGATCAACTTCTAGTCAATGTGATAATCTTGATTGAAATATAAGCAATATTTGCTACGGAACTTTGACTGTAGATTGAATTATGTTTTTAAATATTTGCTATTAAAAATGCTTTACTTTCCAAGCAAGGAGTTGGCATACGCTGTTTTACCATAAAAAGCAATGATGATGATGATGATGAAAAAGCATGTAGACTCACTGCGGCGAGTAACTTGTAAATAATCGATGTTTTTCATTTGCTACCTAGTTTTTCTATTCCTTACAATATGGGGTCACACCACGTTACGAAGATTTTCCGACAACATAGCAAAACCAAAAAATTCCGCAAGTACTTCCCGACATCTATTTCTCAATATATATTCCATACCGCCATTTTAAATACGAACCTTAGAACAGATATCTTTTTCGGTTTTTTTTTTATACGGCCACTTTGACCACGTTGATAAACATATCCTCCAACATTGAGTTATGAATTCGAATATTGGAACAGTTGGAGCTATATATTTGCAATTGCTAATTTCTGTACTCACTTGTGTTTGAACTATGTAGACCTGCCGATAAAAAGTTCTGTTTTTAATGTGACTTTATTGATGTGGAACAAAGGTACATATTATAGTCTTTTAACTAGAAAGATTGCTATCATACAAAACGGTATTTCATTATAACAAAACGGATTTTCCATAGTACGATCTAATTCTATACTTCATATGTTCGCATATTTTTATTATACTGCATAATCACATATATGTTCCAAAGGTATGAGATATGCATCAATTTAATATGCTTGCCGTGCTTGACTTCTCGAAGTTCACTCGTGCTCTTGGCTTGATCGTAAATTCCGTCCTGCTGGTACAACGTTTCGTCAAACAACGATTTATTGCGTAAAATCTAGAATAAATTTAAGCTAACTGTTTTCATCATATCAAAAACCAGCCACAGTTTTACAGCGTGACGGGCAAGGTGACAATTTACTTTCTACTCCAGTTCTACAAAAAAAAAATTTCGACATAAATTTCGTATTGCCAGTGCAAGCCTGATCTGACATCATACGTCGTTTTAAAAAAATGTGGCTCATGCCCGGGTTGCGAAAGGAGAAAGCCTGCCGATTACGATGGAAAAAGCTAGACTGACGGGAAATATTGACATATTTATTTTTAGAAATGCATAGCTCAGAGCTATAGGTCTCTTATTCCCCTTCAAAAAAGCACAAATACATGAAATCTTGAGAAAATTATCAAAATAAGTACAATCATAGTCCGGTATGACATGCCAAAACCCACCCACATATTTGCAAAGGCTTGAATGAAAGAACGGGGTTTTTATTTGCTCGACTAGGTATCTTATTACGACGAGCTAACTCTCAGCAATAATTTCCGATCCTTATATTTCAAACGTGCATTTCTGCAAGAGTACTCCGATGAAAATATGAATTGATACCCAAGAAAAACGCATATTTGAGGTACCACGATTCGTTTTGTGACTCTCGTAATGTACTACAATAGTTGGCTGGGTAAGTACCATTAAATTCAAGGGAATTATACAAAATATTGAGAAGTGCGCATTAAAAAGTGAAAAGATACGCATTTGCGTTATATTTCGATGGCGATATCTTTCAAATTACTTTGCAGTATAGCGTGTTTGTACGCCCGTGCTGAACTTATCGAACACAGAATTTTTGTTTACTTTCGTGTCTGATAAATTTAGATTCGATAATTAACGTATATCCATCAAAGTGCATCACATGAGGACAAGATTTTAGTTAGAACGCTCGACACAGAAACGAAAAAATTATATAACTCAAAGTTCCATGTTGCTTAATTAGATTATTCGTTTGAAGATTCCATTAATGGCGGATATAGATAAAAATAATTAACTAATCATTTGTTAAGCAACCTACATTTATAGATGATGGTGTAGATGGCGGATCTTTCCGTGAACGAGGCTCGATTGAGCGTTGAGTCATTTCTTGATAAGTCGGTAAACATCTGGTAATCGGATGAATGCTACGAGGCAATCGTGTAAAGAAATGAGTAATTTTTAGAAAATTAAGTAACATCCTTCAATTTATGCATCCTTAACGCTGCAATAATTTTACTAAACATGCTTCTTCGAATAAGATGTACCTGTTTCCATGAACTGCAAAATAGACACGGTACGATTGAACCTTATAATTTGTCTCATGTTTTCTGGCCATCTTTGAATTCGGTTCTACGTACACTGAAGTATAATATCCTGGGTGTTTGTATACCTCTATATTATAATTTGACAGTTTACATTCTCTCTTGCCTTTGATGCATACTGAACTCTGCGCAGGTATTACTCATAGACTAAAATTAATTTTAACTTTTTTAGAACTAAGCTTCTTTAATATTGGTATAATTAATTTCGAAGTTTTCCAGAGCGATATGCTTGCGGTCAGTTGTTTTATTATTATTATTACGTATATTGCTTAACTGTTCAACCAACATATACTGAGTAGACTGTACTATTCTAATAATAAAGCATTCAAAACATCGTTTAAGGAAAACACCGTATGATATATCGTGGTCTGGTGGTTGCGAAGTTGCCAATTTTTTTGCGTTCAAAGCCATTCATTTGAAGAGGTTTTGACATCACCTAATGGCTAGGCCAAACGACAAAATTTTTTTTGATTTCACCACCGCTGTACTAAACAATAATCCCTCTCCATTGATACATATCGTGCATTGGTTAACCATCGCCGTGATAGTTAGTGGGTTTCGGAATACAGGTTTATCAGTCTCATGAGCATGTTTTTAGTTGGTTTTTGAATTTTTACGATACTTATTGTTACACGATTCCTATTTTCCAGCATTTGGTAACATTAACGATACGATGTTAGTATTATCATCAAAAAATGTGTATTTTCTACATATTGCCGTCTCTTTCCAGTGCTCACCTTTGTATCTATTCATAGTGTCATCGAGTAATCCAAGAAACTCCACTGTAGGTACTATTCCTCCTAAACATTTCTCATAGAATTTCTATAGAATAAATGGAAAATTTGACTTTTAGTGATTAAGGATTAGAGCTAAATTCCGTCAGTCAAAATAAACACTTACATTATAGAAAGCACAACAGCGGCATTGTTTTCAGCATTTACCTTAACTTATGGTAGCATTATTCATTAATTGTGCATCGTGTTTTTCTGCATAAAGACCTACCAGTTGAGGTCTCTGATCTGCTATAGGAAAACTCATATAACGTAACAACCCGGTAGAAGTCGCAGGCATAAATCATTTGAGATATCGTCATACGTAAAGGGCTTTTTCACACTCCTAATGAAAAAATAACCTAATCAAGTTTTTTTTTTGTCTTAAAAGTATTTTCAAAAATGTCTACGAGACCAAAAAATGTGTATAGAGATTAAATCGCCCTTGTTCCACCAAACCGACCAAAAAGCAAAGGAAAGAAGAAACAAAGCCTACAATTGTTGCTGTATGCAAATGCCCTGATTGAAAGACAAAAGTTTCACATTCTAATGGTTTATCTTTCCCTAGGCGCTTAAAATATATAAAAGATTTTGCATGGTGTAATTCTCTTCAGCGTAAACGATTTTTACGTTAGGTGCCTTTGCGGACAAGTGGCTGATACGCACACAGTCGTAAGCGTTAACGATTCATCTGCATCCCTGTTTGATGCCTTCTAAGGAAATAAAATTATTAATCAAAATAGAATTAAGTGTGCAGCGGTAGCAGAAGCCAAAAATCATTGTAGCCCAAAGAAACACACCGTAGTAAACACTATCGTTGAGAAAAACGAAGACGGGTCGACTACAACGAAAAGTAGATGCAACAAAATCCGAAGTGATGGTGCAAAACATATCGCTGCGCCTAAAGGTGATACACAAGGCGCACACATTCTATTCTAGAAAGCATCAAGCCATGCAACTTGATATAACGGAAACGAGAAAGGAACCAAGATTCGTATGAGAGGTCAACATACTTTTGCATAGGAAGAGTTAAAAATTAAATCTTTGGAAACAGTCACCATAAAGATGCCGAAACTAAGTAGAATAGGCACACAGAGAGATACAAAGAGTTTGGAAAAACAACTATTAGCTAACGGTAAACTAAGAGTGGAATGGGCTTTATATGTCTGAAACGAGTGGGTTACGTTTCCATACTGTTTCAGATGCCGAATGATGGGACGCTTATAGGAAGAATGCAAAGGAAAGAAGGTAGGACTACACGGTGTCATCGGTGTAGAGCAGTAGGCCACCCGGTTAATAAGTGCACCAAAAAGCTAAAGGCTAGAACTGTGTAGAGGCTGAAGAAGACGAGACCGGACCTACGATTAACTCTTTCGAATTCCCGTACTATAAGCAGTGCGTTAAAAAGTTAGGAAATTGAAAGGGCCAAGAAGAAGAAAAAAGGTTACGTAGTGATAAAGTTAAAACACGGCGAAAGCGCCAGGAACAAACCCTCAGCGAATAACAAAAGCAAGGACCCACGTTTTCCGGCTATTTCAGCTGCATGTAGGCTGCGTGGCCATAGAAGAACGATGAACGGTTTAGGTGGCACAAAAAAAGTTCGAGCACAAAAAGATCAGTGAAACAAAGAAGCAACAAAATATTAGGTTCAATAATAGCCAGGGCACGCGGATGTAAGATTTCTGTTACTTTGTTTCCGATTGACTTGCGTTGCATGCCTTAAACACTGGCACGTCCATGACGCACTAGAAGTTAAAGTAAGTAAAGACAGAACAGAAATGTTGATAAGAACAGGTCAAAAAGTGGCTCACTCTCAAAGCAGGCCAAGGTGACTTTACCAATGAGGATTTCTACGTGGTGTTATGAGTTAAATCGCTAAACACAAACTTAAGTTGTAAGATTTATGAGCCGCTTAGGTGATGAAATAAAGAAAAACTGACAAGAAAATCAAAAGCATTTTTACAAAAGAGGATTTTAATGGCGCAGCGTAAGAATCGGGAAATAAAAATAACATATGCTACACGACAAGTATGATTAAATAAAAAAAAAAACAAGAGAAACAAATTGGGAGCCCAAGAACTTACAGAGTAATTAACGCAACACGACATTTTCTTTTTCAATAATAGGCACTCACGTTAAACGCTCAAATGAAGAGGGCAGCTTGGTTTTAAAAATTTCACATTTAAGAGCAGTAAGGCCACCGACAGGATAAGATACTGATAGGTGTTGAAAAAATATTCTTACACCAACCATGCTCACATAATTTATGGGTATGGGTAAGAGTTACGAAATATACGAAATGCATGCAGTCGCCGACTAGTGCATGACCGAATTGAATTTAGAAAAGCTTAGAACCCAAATCTGAAGAGAGAGCTATTCAACGCTGAAAAACAGATCACGTCGCAGTATGGAAGCAAAAATTCTGCCTAGATAGTGCGAAACAATCTTATCCAGGCAACAAATATCTCCTAATAGACGCCACCCCGTATGTTGGTGGACGGGAGGCATTGTGGAGTTTAGAATGGCCTCTAACATAGCACGGCGACAATAAACCAGAGCAAAACAAACGAGCAGGTCTTGCTGACATATAATTTCTGGGCCAAGATAAAGGGCCTCAAATCAGCTATTAGAGAAGTGTCGAAAGGGAATAAGAGAAATTGTGGGGCGGAATAACGAACGACGTCGAGAAAAACCTTATAAGATCATCATGGGCAAAACGACAAAGTCCAACAGAAGAAGCGGCTCTTTAGTCACAAAGATTTTGTCTTACTTGCCCCACTACAAGAGAACGATCTTTTTTATCTCCTTAGAAAAGGTTATGGTGGTAATCGAGAGGTTGCCACAGGTCTTCGTCGCTGTGTGAGGTCGCAACCTTAACCGACGCCGTGGGAATTCTCCATGGAAAGAAACCTGAAGTTTTCACGTTGATGATGGATAAAATCATGACCCTGTAGGGTGGAACAAGGCAATCCTGGATCTCACAAGACAACCAGGACTACCTCCTACCGAACCTAGACCGTGTCAACTAATCTGTCCTTAGACATTATCGACAAAGCTTTAGCGATGATCATCAATAAGGAGCAGTATAAGACACTGAACGTGGATTCTGGAAAAATGGGTTCACGGAAATAGTAATCATCAGGGTATTGAAAGAATGTGAGAAACAGCGCAGCTAAAACCAGTGGTCAAGGGAGCTATGGGTAGTGATTTTTCTGGATGCGCTTAATGCTTTCAACTCATTGAACTGGCAAAACTTTTTCAACGTTGTAAGGGCAAAAAGGTTTCCTAATATCTTTAAAGGCTAAAATACCTGGTACCGTAGGTATAAAACCATATTTTACGGTAAGTACAGCAGCCGGCGTGTTGTCTACATTAGCGCCCTTGCCGTGCAATATAGCTTACATTGAATGCCCACATCGAGAATGTGACATCCAAAGCGGCAAAAGTCATTCATGGTTTGGCAAAAATAATGGCGAATGTTCGGGGGCAACAGAGAGGAGATGGAGGTTGTTGGCTGCCGCGGCGGAATTCGTAATTTTGTCTGCAGCGCTAGCTTAGAATCCGGTTGTGGTCAAATGAAAGCGTACAGGATAGAACTCCTGAAAGTGCAATGATCACTTAGGATAAAGGTGGTGCAAACGTATAAGACTATATAGCAGCGATCACAGGCTTCACACGAATGATCCACAGGCAAAGAATGGTTGACGAGAGAACGTGGCTTCGGACAAACGCCATTCTTAAGAAGGAAGAGGTCTGTGAATAAACCAGTAGGTATGGCGGGTGGAATGGAACACTCACACAGCGTAGGGTTCAACTCGTAATTTCAGACCTTCATAAAAAGTTTAGCAGTGACTATGGCGACATAGCTTAAGTTTCGACACAGGTTCTAGCAGGCCATATATGCTTTCGATAATATTTACACAATACGAAAAAATGACTTAGGTGACATGCGGCACACGTTAGATAAACAATATAACTCGCATGATTTTCTCATACACACAGTATGAGATGCACATAGAAGCTTCCCGATACCTAGACTCGAGGTGAATAAACAGAGCTTATGAAAGAGGGTCTACTTTATGAAGGTAGTCCTAAAGAGAAAAAATGAAATTAAAAAGGAACGGAGAAAGAGTTGTTACAAAAAGGCAGATTGCGGGTATGGGCGAAAATATCTACAGCACACCAGAGAAAAGGTCATCTTCATCCAATTGAAGTGTATGCGTAAATGGTACCACCAGTGGCAATGGAAAAGAGAAAGAGACAACTTTTTTTTTAGAGGAGAATACTGTATGGCCAGGAGTTAGTGCGTATGACATCATTTAACAGTTACTCCTTTATGAACCTGAAACACTTTGTTGCAAATGAAGTTGTTGAATTTACAGCAAAATGGCAACGGTGTATAAACACGATATAAAGAACAATAGACGTTGTTTCAGTAATTCTATAGCTGAAGATGCATCTGCTACTGTAGTACATACATAGTATTGACTTGCGAAGCGAAAACAATTGGGATAACAAGCAAATAACTACGAGTGAAAAAAACGTTCACTGATATTATCAACCAAATAGAACTGGCAAATTTATGTTTGATTTTCGTCTTAGAAAATTATTTGTTTTAGGCTTAATCGACTTTCTATTTATCAAATGAATCCCTTGACTGCGATGCACCTTCATTGGGAAAGCAGGTGAGTGGGTTTGCTTTTATTTTCCATATGCTTTTAATCCTAATGGTGTAACTAAAAAATCACTACAATCACCAAATTAGCATTTTTGCTCATTTTCAGGCTGGGTATCTCATTCAAATATTTGAGAACAAGGCGTGTAAGACAGACACCATAAAGGCAGGTTAGTAAACGCTTTCATGCATATATATATATATATATATGTAAATCAAAGATATTGTAGGTCACGGGAAATTTGGAGCAAGGGAGAGGCCATGGAACATGCGGTAAAATGGAATGTCTTTTTAAACTACGACTAACCAATACTAGCAGGGGACATTAGAAAGCACCCTTTTTTTTTAGCCTATATAGTACTGTTAAATGAAGAGTTTCATTTGCAGCATTTATTTGCGTATATTTGAAAGGGTTGACATATAATAGTTTGTTTAACATGACTATGACATATTATATAATTATTATAATATGATAATTTTTATAGTTTGCTCTGGTAGAGAATAAGGTATGCAGTCGGTTAGCTTAGTGGAGAATCATATTAATGAAACTTTACATTGTAATACAC